ACCCAATCACATTGTGACAAGTCATTTGACACTGTTTTGCCTGTCAATGCTGATGCATGGTAGAAGGCAAAGAGCTCATACAATTTGTAAGGAGTTATTAGGTTGAGAAGGTTACATGTGACACATATGAATATGTAGCCATTTGTGCCGATATGGAAGGTGCTTCAACCAGCAAAGAGAGGAAGAAAGAGGTCAGGCAGATGGAGGAGAGCTACACTCAAAATGTAACAGTGAAAGCTTTGCTCAAAAGCGCTACTTTTAAGTTAACAAATGATAAAATAATAACCAGGCTTTAAATTACAAATCCCAGTCAAACTTTTTTAGTTCAATATGTGCAGATCACAGTCCAACAAAAAAGGAAAGTGTTGATTAAAATGCATTGACAAATAAACTTATCTAGGAAAAATTTCTGAGCATGAATGACTAAGCTCTCATTCTGTTCTGTAGCACAAATTATGAAAATAAATTATATATCCAAAATGTGTTTATTAAGCTTTAAGAAAATGTATACTTTTATAGGATTAGAGTGCATAATTTTCACGTCTTACTCTTAAATGCTTCTTCTTCAGTTATCTGAGTGGTGCAAGTGACATTGGAAATGTTATCTTGTGCTCAACCCTCAAACAGTTTCCACAATTTTCCAGATGTGGCTTGCTTTTTATCCTAACCCCTCTTTAAGTTTGATGTTTCAACATGGACAATTTCCTTTTACAGAAGAGGCCATAACTTTGAAAAAAGACTCAAGTTCTAAGACTTACGTTGACTTGATAGTAATGCAACGCTCTTGTTCATCTTTCCTGGTGTCTGTAAACCTTGTTTCACCAGCTTTTGCGGATGCAATAATTCCAGCTTTGCTGACCAAAGAATCTGTCAAGGTGGACTTTCCATGGTCAACATGAGCAATAACAGACATGTTACGAATGTTGTTCTTTTTGTCCATGATCCCACGGATCTAAAAAGAACAGGTGATATTATTAAAAGGCTACATATATTCAGGTCACCAATCAATATCGTCCTTTAAAATGGATCAAACTTTATTGTCCCTGGTGGTCCCTTATTTTATCCTTATGGTTGATATTAATTGGAAATATAAAAATTACTGCTTATTCTTCTGTCCAGTTGGCAACAACTGAAATATGAAACTATGCAATGGGACAGACCATCTAATAAAAAATGCTCATTCACCTCCAAAGTAAGGGGATTTTGACTAAATTTTATATCCAGGAGCCAACATTTACACTAACACAGAATTTACTTTTAACCCCCAAGAGTGGTAAGCATCTTATCTCTCCCCTCAGTATCAGCCCCAAAACCAATGTTAAGGTCACTAGAATAAAGGAAATGATAGCAAACTCCATAAGCTCTTGATTGTTGGACACTTCTTTCCCTTGTGCGTACCATGGGAAATGTATAATGAACAGTGAGGAGAAATTACTGTTCTTTAAGGAGAATTTGTAGTTAAAGTGTAAATGGTTAAAATCATATGTTCTTCACAATCTTTCCATTGAGGCAAAATTATTAGAGCTGAGCAAAGAAAAAATCTGTCATATTTGAAGTTGTCTTCTCTTTCAAAAAAAAAATCTTAACCCAAAGATTTCTTTGCACTACACTTATCAGTATTTCGTAACCAAAGCAAAACCAAATAAAATTAGAGCCCATCTAGCACAGTGAAATGCCATTTGAGATGTTGTCTGACATAAATGGTAGGATATCCTAGCTTATTAGAGAGAAAGAAGACTACTACGGAGAGAGGATATTTTAATGGCTACTTGATCTATTGTTAATCCTTTAACTCCTAATTCTGATTGTTAATTCTCCCCTCTAGATATTACACATTTCCTTGTAAATTGGTTGTGAGAATTTGGTGTTTGACCTGCATTGTTGTGGTGTGCAAAACTATATCAAGCTTGGATTCCATAATAAAAGAGCCCTTGGAACAGTTTAAGTTAATGGAAGAAGCATTAAAAAGGCCAGCTCTGAGCAAAAATTGCCTGTTGGATATGCTGTTGCACTTGCACAAATTCTCAAGAAAAGAAAAGAAAGGAAAAGAAAAAAACCCTAACGCATTATGCATTTGAAGAAGAGTTTTGTTCAACTCTTTCCCATGGGAAAAGAGACAAAAACCACTTCCAGATTATTTCTATGTGAAATTATCAGACTGTGAACAAATTGTTGTAAATGAAGAAAGTGTGCACACTAAAAAAATTGCATGAAGACGAAACAGGAGTTTTGAGGACAACTGGTTCCTTCTACCACATTCAAGGCAATTTACCATCGAGTAAAAAGGGTTTCAAACGATCTTTGGCTCGATTAGACGTCAGTAGTGACGTAATTCACCCATTTCAACCTTTTCTGAACACGATTCGATACTTCCGGTGGTGTGATACCAGAGAGATCGGTCATACTCAGTTAATTATTTGTGCTAAAACTTCATGGTAAATATAATTTTCCCTGCGATCCTTTCCTTTGCCTTGCGATTTTATCAATCTACTAGTTATTCAGTAAATAACCTTCCCGCTTAATGATTCTTATTTATAGAAAAGACAACCGTTAAGGACTTGATAGTTGCATCGCACAAATTTTTCGTTGTATGATTCCACGTTTCACACAAATTCCCTCATTCAAAATACAAAAGATTGAAAACAGTTTTTTGAGGTCCCGACTTACCTGGTCTATCGTGAAGTTCGGCTGAAAAAGGGAAAAGAAAAGAAATTATTAGTTAGCAACAATAACGACTTAGCGAGAGCCAAAGTTTTTATACATCACTCTCAAGGTTAAAAGGCCGGTTAAAAATGGCGACTATATATTCTAACTGGACGCTAAAAACTCTATCGCATTTTAAAGAAATCTTACGAAAGAGGTGTCATTTGACCTTATCGGATACAACATAATACAGATTGAAAACGATGGAACCACGATGGCCACTCACCATGATGGTAGCGGTGTGATTTCTCTGGATTGCAGTAAGGCACTACTGATGCCGTAATGGCGTCCAGAGGTAAAAGGACTGAAGGAGAGAGCGTATTGCACAATGACGATGAAATGGCCTCACTCTCATGTGGACGAGGAGAGAATGAGTAGGGAGAGGAGGGCCTTTCTCAAGAACGGGGCTCAAGAAAGGATGTGCTTTAAAAGGTGGATATTATTAATACACTTATACCTCTAAGCTGAAGAGTTTATCGTTTTCCGAGAAAGTGGGCCCATTTCGAGTTTAGAGCGGAAGTCATAAACCCTGCTCTAAGCTCTCATGTATTTATCCTTCAAGGAAAGGAGTAGTAAACCTGTGCTGCTTAAAAGGACATGTGCCCTGAATAAAAGTGCTTCACACGTCTTGTAGATTCTGCTTTTAATGGCTCGTCACTCTTTAGGGGATGGTAAGGGGCTCTAATTTCCAGGTGGTATCTAAATGAAAATTTTGAGCCACAGGAGGGGTGCCGATTCGCAGCTGAATGTTGTTGTGGCCGTATTTAGTTATCACACATCAAAGTTTGCCACAATGATTTCTCGGTGTATTTATTACAGTGAGTCAGGAGTGAAAAATTATTTTTGTGTTCGTTTTGTCGTTATACTAACAATACTTAATTTTCACATACCAATAAGCGGTCGTGGCCTGGTGGGGTCATGGAAGATAGTCGCTACACTGACAAAGGGGCCGATGGGAAGGAAGAGGTGAGATTATGGCAAATTTGCAATGAGATCTAAGAAACTATGTGAATAAACAAATTTCGTTATTTTAACAAATAAAATTTGGAACTAATTAGTAGTTAAACAAAGTCTTATTACTCTCAATCTCCTTTGTTCATCCGGATCATGAGTTTGTCACGGAACCGTAAGTGCATCGCGTGACATCAATAGGAGGCTACATCGTCCTATCAGTAGAGAGAAGGAATCAAATAACTCAAGACAGAACAGTGAGAAAAAAAGTGACAGCAACAGACCTGGGTAAGTGAGGTGGTCTTTCAGGCATCATCTCAGGTTGAGAAGTCCAAGGAGTGATCAAAGACTCAGTCAATTTGAAAGGCCAGAACGACACAAACAAACAAACAAACAAACACACAAATGTTTGTCGTCTTTAAATTCAAATAACTCACTCGACAAATTCTGAGGTTAGTGAGACTGCAACTTTTTCCCACATTTTGGGTGAAGTGATGACGCTGATGGCTTGTTCCAATGTCAAGAGCAGTAAATGGTCGGGCCTTTTTTTTTTATTAAAAGTTGTCAGTTTGTTTGGTTATGTTAAGAATCGACAGCATTGCGTATTTTCTACAGAGTGATGAAATCTAATTCTAGGATTGAAAAGTTTACTTCGAACAGCTCGGGCCTAACTACCAGAACATTGGTTACATCACCGAATTTTACAAAATAGCGTCCACTTCTAAGCACTCATCAAAGCCTTGAAGTGCCCTATCCCACAACGCTTTGGGACTCTCGTCTCAAAAACAAAACAAAACAAAACAAAAAAAGAAACTAGGTGTCCATCATGCTATTATTTTCGAAGTGAAAAGAGGAACCTGCCTGACCATGGCCGTGCGCCGAAAGTCAAAAGTGCTTCGTTAAAATACATGTATATAAAAAAAACTGTATTGGCTCCATGGCCAAACTTCTTAACCGCTGAACCGTACCCTAATACTTGCGCTGGTAGTTTAAGATCTGCACAGAAATAAATTTTTCTATAATTTTTGACGACAAGATATTCTCCATCCTAGTTCTGCTCTCGGCAAATACTTGCAATGTTACTGAATTCACCGGACTGATGACGATTTTGTTTCCATTTTGACACATTTTACCCGTCAGAGCAAATTGCGATCCTTACGAGAGAGAAAAATCATGATGCGGAAAGTATTTCCAACCTGCTTATACACCTGTCAGGTAACAGATGGTCCTAACTTAACAAAACTTCCCAGATGCGGTGATTGGTCAGTGAACAGTCAAATACTGGTTCACGGGTCAATGGGTTTTTACGTAAGAATGCCAGATCACCGCATTGCAATGAAATCGTTCGAGAACAAAGGATGATTTACTTTTCGTCTCAGCAGCGTGAAACGATTCTAAATTATCTCGATTGAATCATGGCCCTGTGTGCAATGTGATGGAAGACGGTATCGCTGAGAAAATTTCGAGGAAATCATAAGGCTGGTACGTGAAAAACCTGGGTAAAGTGACATTGGAACATATTTTGTAAGGCGGCCGAGTTAAGGGTGCTGTTCGCTTATCGAAGGCTGTCTATCATTGTAGAAATCAAAATCGCAAGTAGAAATGATCTCTTTTGAAATGATCCGTGAAATTATGTGTGTTTTAATTTTAAGAGAAGCTATGATACACCAAAATTTACTCGAACCCCCTCATATAACTTATAAGGGCTGCATGTGACTGTCTTGACGTGAAATAAGTTGAATCGGGATTCCAAATAAGAACAAAAGGGAATTTAGAAGCTGGTACTTGGCGACTGTTGGATCCAGAACTAGTCTCTTTTGCTGGAAAGCTTTTCTAATTTGATCCACACATTAAGATAGGTATGAAAAGCTGAGTTAAAAAAAAAAAACAGTAGAATGTATCTGTTAGAAGAAGCATTCGCCTTTGAACTCATGGTTGTAATTATTTTCAAAGCTGATACCAACTAAAATGGTTTCATGGTGGCGAAATATTTACCGATTTTTTTCTTTTTTTCTCTTGCCCTAGTGAAGAATATTTAAGTGTTGAACATGAATTTCGTCAAAACTTGCAATTTATCTAAAGTTCTCTAAACGGTTAGACCAGTTTTCTTTCTTCTTGAATATTTTGCGTCGCAGCAACAGGTTGTTTAACAGATAGGATGAGAGTCAGTTTGGGTGGCAATAATTCAAAATAACAATTGACTTAAAAGTAAATTCAATTAGGGTCGTTTTCGTTCATTACTGAGTGAAGGAGCGAAGTGTACTTTTATTCCCGTCTTAGTCTGTTTTTCTTTCGATTGATTTTGGTAATAAATGTCAAGTTTATATCGCTTTTAATTACTTCTTATATAATAATAGCGGACGTTTTCCATCTGTTCTGGTAACCTCTGTCAGTTGTATAAGGATCAATATCGATTGTAATTGCGCAATTGTATCAGAAAGAGACCGCGAAATTTCTACGAGTTATCATGGTGACATATCACCTAATTTAGCTTTCCTTATGAATTTGGATCATATAATGACGAACGTGAAAAAATTGTGTCTTAAATGTGTGATTCGAAGGTGATATTGTAAGAAGAAATTAGATGCCAGTCACAATTAGGTGCAAAAGGGTTAAGGATCGATCAGTGGTTAGATCAAAGGTATGTTTTAGACTACTAGAAATAGGTGAGCCATTAAGTGAGATCACTCAAGCGCATTATTTCATTGTATGAAGTTTAACTTGGTAACAACTGTTGCTGTGAATAGACCACTACCAACGAAAGGGTAACATGTTAACATCTTGACCCGGAGTGCTCATTAAAGCCAACTACTTAAGTCATTGACTTGCGGCTTATATAAGCGACTGAGATCTTTTTTAGAGAAAGATAGGGCAGAGTGAAACTATGGTTTTAATTTCGACTCAGTTATATTTCCTTCAAGGTTGAATTTAAAAGGTCGGGTACATTTAGGGCCCAAATTAAGTTTCGTCTTTTCTTCAGATCATCTGGTTGGCCAGAAGTAATTATTTGTATGAACCAAAAGAAAATGTTCGAACCATTATTTCCTCTTGATAGGTACAAAGATTCCCTCAAACCCTTTACAATTTCCTCGACAAGATTCTTCGTGAAGCCATCAACATCAGCAAATTTTTATTTCCAGAAAAGTTTACTAATTGAAAAGTGCCCCTCTTCAAAAACCTGTATACGTCGTCAGTCTTTAAAGAGGATAACTCAACAAGGAAAAATTTGCTATGTCTTTTCATCCACACTGCCAAAGACAGTAAACTGGAAAGCGCGCCATTGGTAAACCTGTCGAGCAAAGTGTATTCGCTGCCAAAAACAATATCTATTTCAGCTAAGGAATCGGACATTATTTATCGCCAGAGGGGTGGGGCGGAGGATTTTGATTGTGTCACGATGAAATTTACTGATCTCCCCCATAAGGCTTTAAAATATTCCTATGATGCCCCCTTATTGGCAGTTAATCAGCAGTCAATTTTCTTCAGTCCCTCTCTATACTCTGTTGGGGACGACTGACCCCCTCCCCCTCAGTTCTCCCTAAAAAGCATGTGAATGTGGTCCAACCCCCCCCCCTAAAAAAAAATCCTTCATCTCCCTCCACGGCGATAAATAATGACGGGTCCCTAAAAATCCAATTGAAACTGAATCGAAATTTTCAAACCCTGACTGTCCCTCTCTGTCGTCCCTCTTTAACTCATTAGGATTTCTTTTTCCTGTTAGGTTTCAAGTTTAGAAAGACACCATGACTTCCGCTGTTAGGGTTATCGAACAGATCAACGAGCAGCTGATGTGCGCCATTTGCTTGGATCGCCTGACTGCTCCGGTGTTCCTAAAATGCCTGCACACGTTCTGTTCACAATGTTTGCATAGAATCGTCAATAATCACCCGTCATCCTCGATTACCTGCCCCACATGCCGCGCAGAGACCCCGATCCCGGACAAAGGAGTCGATATGCTAATGCCAAACTTTTTTGTGAATCAAATGCTGGATCTGGTTCACTTGAAATCGGAAGAGCTGAAGAAAGAAATACGCGAGGAGAATAAGTGCCAAGCCTGTGAAAACGAGAAAACAGCGGACTTGGCCACTTCACGATGCGTGGACTGTAAGAAGGACTTGTGCACGAGTTGCGTGGCAGAGCACAAGCGGGCCCATTCCACACTCGACCATAGGATAATTGCCACAATCGAAGATGAAGGTCAGCAGGAGAGTCAAGAGTTGGATAGATATAGCCTATCGTTTTGCAAGTACCACACTAGGAATGTCATCAAGTATTTTTGCAACACGTGCGATGAAGCCATTTGTCGTGTTTGCACAATTCTAGAGCACCGAGAGCACCAGTACGTCTACCCTAAGGAGGCTTTACCAGCCAGAAGGGGTGCCATCGCAGAGCAGCTAGAACAAGCTAAGATACGCATACCTGAATTGAAGAAAACGCTGTCCGGAGTGCAAGAAATGTCAAAAAGGCTTACGGAGTGTAGAGAAGCAATTGCAAAGGAAATCAGCGAGAACGTGCAGGCACGAATTGAAGCACTACGTGAGGGTCAAAACGAGCTCCTAAAGCACCTGGATCAAATTCATGACGGGAAACAGAAAGTGTTGGGCTTGCAAAAGGACAGTATTGAGTTGGAACTGGGAAAGCTTGCAGGCTGTTGCGAGTTTGCTGACAACGTCTTAAAGTTCGGCAACGAAGTGGAGGTTCTGCAGATGAAAGGGCGCTTAGAATCCTTGAATGGTGTAAAGATTCAGTTCGAGCCCGAAGAAGATGACACAATTCAATATGTTCACGATCCAGCCACAACGAAGACTGTGTCGGAGTCACTCGGGAGCATCCGGGCAAGTAGCACTTTTGCCTCGATCTCATACGCTAGCGGAGATGGGATCCATACTGCGCGTGTCAAAATGGAGACAACTTTCCGGCTGACAACCAAGGATCGACATGGCAAAAGGTGTAAAGGAGGAGACAGGGTCACAGTGGACATAAGCCAACCCGATGGGATACCTCTGTCGTCAACGATCAGGGATGAAGGTAATTGGGTGAAAACAATTGTCTCTCAAAAGTCGTAAAAATACAACTAAGGTAACTATAATTGCCAATCAGGAAATGGAAAATTAACGCAAGGATCTGAGACAAACTCAGTGAAAACATTTAAAAGTCCTTAAGCGCGGAAAAACAAGAGCGACCCAGTTGTTGGTAGTTTTAGTTTTGCATCTCATTGCTCAAACAGTTAACACGAAATTTTCCAGAAAACCGCGGAACGTAGTGAATCAAAACCAATGCAATCAAGAATGGCTTTAGACATTTCATTGAGAATTATTGTCTCTGGTGGTTGAGTTTGTAAATGTTTCCTTTCAAGCTAGAGTTGTAAATTCGATTCCCGGGTTGATACACGCGCATGCGATAAACACCAAACCAAATAGGATCTTTTCTTTCTTTATTCCTTTTGCTATTCCTCGGGGCGTTATTATATCGAAGCGGTCAACTGAAATTATTAGGTAAAGAAATCACCTAAGTATTATGATTATAGCTTAAGAATAATCTCGATTTTGGAAACGAGCACGTGGCAATTAAAGGGATCAAAGGAAAGGTAAAAAACGAGCGATAAATTTTACTTTGTGTAACGACTACGAGCTAGATAACATAATCATAAAACAAGTTATAGCTTACCAACGTTCGCGGGTCTTGATTACTTTATCGAGGATTGCAGTCTAACTTGTCTTCTATTCAAAACGATCTTGATCACACGGGGTCTTATCTTGAACTGAAACGCTTTCTATAATTTTCTGCTTAAAGAGAACTAATCATGGGGGCGTCAACCTAATCAAAAAATATTTCCCAGCTTTTCTCGGAAGCGGTAACACTTAGCTTCAACGGAAGCAGTTACACAGTTTTGATAAGGTATTAGAAATAATCCTGATTGCTGTTACTTTCTTTGAAACCACGTTCTTTGATTCGCTTTGAACTCTTGCTGGCTCCTTAACCTTTTACACCCTAAAGCACAATCTTCATACTGTTCTCCATCCATTTTTTACGTGCTGAAGAGGACAATTTGTTTAACAATTAAGAGCCTTTTTCGTTAGTGATCATTTCCTGAGACTAAGGGGCGATATTGAGGGATAAATTAGATGCTAGTCACTCTGAAGGGCCTCAGGGTTAATCGATCAAATGTAAGCTAGGACCAATCAGGAACTAAATAAATAAAGGAGTAAGTTTCTAAAGAAACTGCGGTGCTGCGTCGGTGGGAGAGTATAGCAGGTAATTTAGTGTTAACAACTGAGTTGAAAACGTAAATTAGCCACCGTAAAGGGCAATAAAGCTGACGTTTCGAGCGTTAGCCCTTCGTCAATCGCTTTTTTACCCTTTACGGTGGCTAATTTACGTTTTCAACTCAGTTGTTAACGCTAGATTACCAATCAGGAACTGATCGCTTGTGGTTTCTCGGAGTTAAGACCGCTTGTAAGTTCTGCACATTGGCTTTGAGTATTCCCTAACGCATCTATCTTATCTCATCTTATTGAGGTTACATTGATCTTAACCAACAACATTCAGCCGAAAGACACGGTTTACCTCAAAGCTTTTTCACTTGTAAACTCTATACGGAAGTGTAATTTCACAACCACTTCCTTGTTAGACTAATCGAGTAATTAATCGTTTCTGTTACAGGAGATGGCACCTACACTGTGACTTACATGCCAGAAGTGAATGGTAAACATGAAGTCTCTGTCGCTATTCAGGACAAGCCGATCATGGGAAGCCCCTTCACTGTGCTTGTTGTCAACCGCCGAGAATATGCCGACGTTGGCCCGACACTTCATCGATTTGGACAGTATGGCAGCAAAAAGCGCGAGTTTAAATCCCCTTTCGGCGTGGCGGTTGACAACGAGAGCTACATCTATGTAGCCGATAGCTATAATCACCGGATACAAATATTCGGTCCACGGGGAGAATTCGTTTCACAGTTTGGTTCTCATGGGGAACGCAAAGGAGAGTTTAACTGCCCGACGGACGTCGCTCTGGATAGTAAGGGAAGAATCATTGTCTGTGATAATGGCAACAATAGAATCCAGGTCCTTAGTCGGAATGGCGCATTTATCGGAAAATTTGGCCGTGAGGGTACGGGAAACGGTTACTTTAAATCCCCCTGGGGGGTTGCGACCTCCCGAAAGAATGATATCCTAGTTGCTGACATGGAGAATCACCGGGTGCAAGTTTTCTCTTCCGACGGGAAATTCTTGACAAAAATTGGCTGTTTTGGCGATCGCGCAGGGCAGTTTAACTCTCCGTGTTACCTCCTTGTCAATCCGGAAGATGACCATATATTCGTTTCTGACTCCAAAAATCATCGCATCCAAGAGTTCGACAAAAATGGGAAGGTTCTCCGCCAAATTGGATCCCAAGGAACTGGAGAGGGGCAGTTTTCACATCCCCGTGGGTTAGCCATCGATATCGCCGGTAATCTCGTGATAGCTGACATGGGAAATCATCGTTTGCAGATATTGGCTGCTAACGGTAAGTTTGTAAAGGAGGCTGGCTCCGAGGGTAGCGGAGACGGACAGTTGTCTTTTCCAGAGAGCGTTGCGATAATGCCAAATAGCGGATACATTGTTGTGTCAGATCTTAGCAATAACCGCATTCAAGTGTTTTAAACGAGAAACTTCATATTAACGTAATAAACTCTAAGCTGTGCGGAGAATGGCTCGTATATTCAACTTTACGGCTCAACTGTAAGGGAACGTTATTGTTTTTTTTCCCAAGCAAAACATAAGGTGCTACCAACGCTTCCTTCCTATTAGATGAAAATCGGGAAATGATTAGATTCATCGTTTCCCTTTTTGCTGTGACCATATATGATGTGATGTGATTCTACGCGGTAAACGTTCAAGAATAGATTCAAGAATGAATCATTTCACAATTGAAAAAAACAAAAAGAAAATAAAACAAATCGGTTTAAAAAATGTGTAAAGAAATGAACCCTAAAACTATAAGTAAGTTAAAAGTGATCCTTTTGTGTATATGATATATGTTATTTATAATGAATACAAAGCGCTTTCGATTGAGTGTCACAATACAAAACCAAAGTAATCCTAGGCAGCAAATGAGAAGTCAGAGCAAAACCAGGCAAAAGGGAAATTCGAGTAACCAAATTGCGATAATTATTATAAGTGTTGTATGAGATTGGCTGCGAAGTTATCTAATGAGAAGTTGGTTAATAAGTTATTAAATAAAAATATGGGTAAATTAATAGATATATGTAATTTCAACTGCTTCTCTGATCTTCATATCTATTTACGTGTCGTTCGATTTCTTTTTGGTATGGTTAACTGAGTTCAATACTTACTATTATACGAATATCTCATTGTTGTTTATTAAAAGTTTTATTGCAAGTAATGTGTCGTTACTAAATTAAATTCTGTGTTCCAAAAATTTTATTACAAAATGTTGTAAAAATAAATAAATAAATAAATAAAAAAAGTTAGTGTACAATTAAAATTTAGCACATTTAGATGACACTTCATATAGAAAGTGAAATTAACATCATCTTGATAGTCTGACCGAACAATATCATCAATATTATACTCACATTTTGTATGCAGAGTTTATTTTGTTAAGACTATTTACATGACAGTTAAAGTTAAGTAAAATATATTTAAAATTCCAGATGTGAATTGAATCACCTAAATTGTAGTTACTGACAAATAATTTGGGTTGTCTGGCACCAAACTTGTAATTATGATCTCTATCAGTAAGGTGAATTACCAATCTTTCTAGTATAGACAAGACATATACTGATCAGGTGTAACCCAGCAAGTATGTATACTCTATATGAGCTAATAAATGTAGAGGATCAATAAAGACATCACTTCCAACGAAAAATTTATTCAGTCTTGCTCTCTCTCTAACTCGTATGCGTGATTGGCACGTCAACCTCTCGTTTTCCTAGATTGACTGTTCTTTTCAGTATCTCGATGTGCTACCTTTACCTAGAATTTTGATGTTATTAACATTGTAGGTCTCACAACTGTTCAAAGCTGGGTTTCCTTTGTCCTTCAAGTGCACGTACACTATCAAACGTAACAAAATTGGAATACTTCTCTAAGTCTACGTTCTTTCGCCTCACTCTCCCTTCCAGTGTTGTCAATTGCCAACGTGTCTGTGCCATCCTGCAGACCAACATGGAGAGGGGCAGAGCGGGGGGAGGGGCACTTAGTGTCCCAACAAATTTGTCCGTCAAATGTTCCTTCACTTGACGACTTGACATTTCATTACCTCGGGATGGTGACGTCAGTTTACACGCCTCAGTCATAAGGCCCAATGACTACATACTTGAGATAAAATACTTACTTATTTTTATGCTGATTCCATGTCATAGGCGAACGGACCGAGAGGTGTCCCGGTCTGCTAATTTTCTGAGGGTTATAAATGTCGTTAAGTGTGGTTAGGGGATTGACGGTATGCAAAGCGCGACGGGCTCGATACCTCGTCGTTGGATTTGAGCTGTCTTTGACTCGTGCTCGCAGCTTCCAATTTGGAATTTAAATGATTCAGAGCACCATGTGGTCGTAAAATCAAAAATTTTACACAAAAACATATCTAACTTCTGAAATGTATACAAAAGTTTCAAGATAAAAGCCATTTTCAGACCACTGAGCCACCTTAAGTGTTGCGGGATTAACACACCTCAAAATCTCGAAGGAGTTTCACGAACATTTCATGCCACAAGGGGACTGACCTCTCGGAAGGCTTGGAACTGAGAGCGCGGGATTAACCCTAACACTATATTACCTTTCTAAAGTAAAACAACCAAACTTGAAAACTATTTCAAATCTTGCTTTTTTATATCAATCAAAACAAATCCAGAATCGTTACAATGATTTCATAACTTCGTTCTACTGACACATGAACTCTTCAGCGAACAAACATCCAATATGGATAACTCAAGATAGAATCAATCCCAAAAGGAAAACGATGTGCATTTCTTAGAAAGAAATTTCATTCCGTATGAGCGGCTAGAGTGGGGTCACATTAAAGTGTCAATAGTGTGGAATATTTCTTTTTCTCTGTCCCAGAGGAATTGATTTAGAGATCATTAAATTATTGTATGACTACGACTACGAGTTCAAGACGACGGGACACAACAGTGGCCGTCAACACTCAAAGGAGAGTTTTTGCGAAAATTGCGTAGCCTTAAAAACAAGATAACCAATACAGGAACCAGAAATATTCAATTTAGTGTCGAAGTAATCAAGGATTACATTAGTTTTACTTGTGTACGCTCTGTGATTGGTCCAGAAACTTTGCGCCACAATGTGAACCAATCAGATCTAAAATCAAAACCAAATCAATCGCGATTTCGTAACTCGCGTTTTCCCGCGCTTTGAGCAGCCTGCTTCCTTTTATTTTAATTCTCATTGGCTCATAACGAATAGAAGAGTAAATTCCCCTAATATTTCGCTTTTAGCTCGAGTATTAATCTCAGGGTCGTAGTCACACTCGTCCGTGGAGCTAAAGGTCTCGTTTAATTCATCTTCTGAATATTATTTCCCTCTTGCACTGTACATTCGCAGTCACACTGTTCGGCAAATATTGCCCTCACAAAGCGCCTTTGAGGCGATGGAAGAAGAAATAAACTGAGACGATGATTTGCCTATTACACGTACATGTAGTTGAGGCCAAACGAATTGATTGTGCAGGCGCTTTTAACTGTCTGAGTAAATAACTCGCGGGACAATCTTGCCCCGTTTGCAGTTGCCACGCCAGGATCAATGAACGTCTAAAACGATTGCTACTCGCCATTAAGGTGTGTTTGCGCGAGAGCCGTTAGGCGGTAAATGGCCCCAGTTGGATGCAGGCGAGAATGGAAATGGATTCTATTCTGTCAAATTCAGACTTTTCTCTGCATCGCTGAAAAACATAAACCAAAAAACAATGTGAAGAAAAAGCTTAAATCGTGGTAGACTGTACAGCCCTTCATAACATAGCTCACAAGAGAGTTTTTTTTCCTGTAAATTCATTAACAACGAAAGAGAGACGTTTTCAAGTCCAGCATAATCGAAATCTGTTTGCGTATTCTGGTAGGCAGAAGTGACTATGAAAGGCGGGAACTACTACGAAATGATAGAAATTGAGCAAGATAGGTAAAGTACTTTTTTAGCACACGAATCCCTTTTTCCCGCGCTTTGAACTAAGGTGCATACGTAATCCACGTTGTTAATGGTTATTTGGACCTTACGTTCTCATTAGGCGTTGGGACTACAATAGTTTTGGTACCACGATTCTTAAGAGCTCTATCGTCTCTCGCACTTACTTTGGAAATCCGAGGCGTGACACGATCTCTCGCACATTTCTTATGAGTCCCTCATTTTCTTGCGGCGAGTCCAGTATAACTGAATACAATCTGGTCATATACGAGTCAATAGTATCTAATGTAGGAACCTCGTTGGTGCCAGGAAGTACCAAGTTCGCAAACGCTTGCACAAGGGCTGTACGAAGATTGCTCAGATGATTGAGTAACACCATGTTGGCATTTCGTTGTTGATTTGTCTCCATTTCTATTTTTTCTATCGCTTGTTTTAAGCTCTCCACGTGTTTGGAGGTGAGTGAATTCTGTTCTTCAAATTCGGTGGCCGCTTTGCGAAGCTGTCTCAGTTCGTCTTCACGCACTGAAAGAATAAGGTTGAGGAGAGTTCACAAAGCATTTGAATGATGAAGATTACATTTACTGTACCATGAAGAATGGGGATCAATATCAGTATCTGGGCAACTGCCCACCTACCCCTCCCCTAACCCAACAACAGTCTATTGATAACAAGTTAGGGTTAATGTTAGGTTAGGGGAGGGGTAGGTGGGCAGTTGCCCAGATACTGATATTGATCCAAGAATGGCTCAACCCTTTAACTCCTAACATCTGATTGTTAATTCTCCCCTGTAGCTACTACACATTTCCTTGTAAATTAGTCACAAGAATTTAGTGTTAGATCAAGATAACAGTTTCTACCTTATAAGATTGAGTATTTTCATTACCTGTTTGCTGGATAATGTATGCACAATGTTGGGAGAAGTTACATGTTAATCACTTTTGGGAGTTAAAGGGCTAATACGTATCTGGAAGCAATGGTCTCATGGTTAAACCTTTGCACCCTAACATCAGTATGCACATTCTCCATACTGTTCTCTATACATTTCCTGAAGCAATAAGTTGGTGATCATTTCCTCGAATCTTAATGACCTAATGTTTCATTCAGGGGTGATAATGTAAGGAGAAATTAGACGCTGGTCACTCTTGGGGTTAAAGGATTAACGTAGGAACGTCAGGATTGTGAGGTTTGGGTTCAGGTTCACACAGTGTTCAGGTCATTGTGATGAGTCATTGCGTTGTGTTCTCAAAGTGGGCATAAATGGATACCAATGAACCATAAGCGACATTTGAAGAAATACAAGGAGAGAGATCGTGATGGGTTACCATTCCCTCTTAAGGGAAGTAGTAATACTTATGGTCGCCTTATACTCCAAAACCGTGAAAGATCCGGTGATACTGGAAAGGATTCAATAATTTTTGATGGGGCATGGGGGGGAGGGAGGGGGGGAGGTTCAAAATTACTTCTCCATGAACCCACGCTTCCCCCCCCCCCTTTCTTAATCTGTGGTTACACAAATACAAATCTACCCGCTGAGTGTTAACATGCGATCCTGTCATTGCAAATCTTGATGTCAGACAAGCAGTGAAAACCCTCACAAGTCAAATGGGGGAGGGGAGGGGGGAGTTTGGACACCCCGGATCCTCAGTCTGGATCCGCTTTTGGTGACCCACTTGGCTTTAGCTCTACCATATGGTGTACATACTTTCATTGTGTTTAAGGAACTCTTCCGTGAACACGGGAGCGTTAAATCCAGGTAATTCTTCCTCTTCTTCACTTTCGTTTAACTTTCCAGACACTGTCAGTTTGTGCTTACGACCAAGAATGTGTTCTCTCTTGTTGTGAAGGTTGTTAAAGTACTGATTGCAGGGTTTGCAGTAAAGATCGTCTTCTGCACAAAGCTATAACGAAGAATAAATAGAACAGGCAATCCATTCTCTGTATTTCGTAATACTGTGTTACGAAACTGCCGTACAGACGTGAAATGAGAGTATTTGAAGTCGCCGTGTAACCTTGATTGTTCTAGTTCGATACACAAGACGTGAGCCAGGAAAACTTAGTCTAGTAAATGAAATTGCGGCTCTTTTCGATAAATTTTCCAAGGAAAAAAATTGATGAAATGACAATTTATTTTTCTGATTCACTTGCTGTTTTTACGAAGTCCTAACGCCCAACATGATAGGAACACATTAAAAAAGGCAACGGAAAAAGTCACACAGAGAAAGAAAATATTTTTTTGTTGCTGTAGTAATTTATTTTTTTCCCGAACATAGGCCACTAGAAACGAGAAACATGTCTTCGACTTACTTCAATTCCATTTGATAAGCCATCTAGACTGTCAGAGTTCTCCAGATCTGTAAGAAAACCAATAGGTAATGAAATGTCGAGCTGTTGCCCATACTAACTGGATGCGACAGAATGTTATTGATATCGTATTCAGTTGAGTAGGATGCTCTGTATTCAGCCTAACGTTGTCTGAGGAAATCGAGATCAGAGCAACGGAGCACTGAAAAGAGCGTGAACTGAAACGAGAAAAACGTGCCACGACATCAAAGAAACAATACACTTACTTTTTCTTTTCCGTTCCGCTTGCTTCTTCAAAAAGTTCTTATAAGCATCTGTTTTTTGGTATGCTTCTAATTCCATCATGTATCTTTCTTTATCTTTTTCTGCTTCATCTAAATATCGCTGGAAATGGAAAAAAATCTGGCTGCAGTAGACACAAAGTTAATCTAAATGTTTGCATTTGAGCTCTGAAATACAATAGAAAGACCTGGTTGGGGTTTAAAGCAAGGCCTTTTGTAGAATAGTTTGGTACATTTACCATTGGCCACTGGTAGTAATCGAGAACAAACTGCCAAGGGAGGTTTGAGCCTGAATATAGGCTGCAAAGGTGCAGGTTATTGTCTCTATTATAGGGCTCAGCTGGCTAAAAATGGAATAAAAGCAACAGCTTTCCCACAGGTTTGGGAGCAGGAGGTACTATGGCCAAAATAGGTGACAACAGGTTACAGCAAACAAGCATGTTAACAAAGTAGTGGAGTGTTATCATGGTTACATAAACCCTTTTTAGAAGACAGAAAAGGGGTGGCAGCAGTCTGTTTCTGAGGAAATATTTTGTTGTTGAACCAAGAAGGTTAAGATGAAGGCAGTGGTTGTTAGACATTAAATTCTAAATATTTTTAAGAGAAGTGTAAAAAAATGTTAACAAGAGGTAGTTGGGTGAGTGAAGCCAAAAAACTTCTTGTGTGAAGGAAGCAAATGTGCATATTAAATAGTTTGGTATACTAATAGTTGAAATGTGAAAGTCATAATGATTAAAAAGTAATATATTTTGGGTTCCCTTTCCTTTCTTCGTCATCCTGAAGCAAAGGAAATGCAAACTTTAATGTATAATTTGAAGCCATATCAGAATCTAGTAAATAATTATGTCTGAACAAACATACTTGCTTTTCTTCAGTAGACAGTTTACTCCACTGAGCACCAAGTAGTTTTGTAACTTCTGGGAAATTTAAATCAGGGCGCTCCGCTCTGACCTTTTCACGCTGTTCATTAAGGAACCTCACATATCCAGTTAAGGGTGCCTTTGGTGCATTGCTGTCTCGGAATGTTTTACGACGTTTCTTTCCCTTTGGCCAGCCTCCTTTCTTTTTCTGAACATACATGTACTGTATGAAACAATAACAACAACCAATTAATGGCCAAGTTTGACCATGATACTAAAAAAGTCTACAAACCTGTCTGCAGAGTCCTAAAAAAAGAGACCTTTCCCCTTCCCCTGGTCATTGTTGCTTTAAAAAAAAAAAAATTTGATATTTCAAAATTCAGCAAAGATTAAAGACTTCAACAGGAGGCTATGGAAAATAAACAGGAAAGTCAAGGTCTATTCCTCATGAACTTTGTATCAATGTCTGTTTTTTTAATGCTGAATTTTAAAATATTGAAATTAGGCAGTAGATGTACTGAATATTTACAATACAACAATACAATTTTTATGGGCCATTCATAGAGAGATAGGTGCTTTACATCCTCAAATGAGTAAATTTATAATCCTTGTTAAAAAAAAAAAAAAAAAAAATCTTAAAAAAATTCATGGATATTACTAAGAGATAACAGAAAAAGGTCTAAAATTATCTCAATCACAATCATATGAACACATTAGGTTGCTGGTCCCACAAAATTTTTTGGCTATAAAAAAGAGTGATTGTGCTTTTAATAATAGTAATACACTATAGTTGAGATGCAAAGTCTCACCAATTATGTGAAAAAAAAATTGGGACTTTAAACCTATGTCCCAGGTGTTTTTGGAAACATTTTCTGGATAAAACATAATCAAGGTAAACTTTTTATGTCCAAGAAATGTGAAGCAGGGAATGTATTAACCCTTTCACTCTCAAGATCAAATTAGTAATTCTCCTTACTATCTGCCATACAATTCTTATGATGTTAGTTCAGAGAATTTGGTATTGGATCAAATAATAATCCCATGATTGATATTCTTCTCTATTCTCATCACCTGCCTGCTTGATATTGTATTGATATTGTAAGGAGAAATTCTGTCTTGGTCACGTTTAGGAGTGAAAGGGTTAAAAGATATCTCACCTCTGGTTTCTCCACATCTCCATGGGAGTTGGACACAGCTGTTGTGGTCTGAGTCTCCTGACAAACAGTTTCCTCTGCTGAGCCCCCTTCACTTTCTCCACCACTCAAAATCTCCACTAAGAACAAACAGTTTACATAAATACTACTTTTATGTGTATAATATGTGTACATATCAATTGGCTAAAACATGGTTTATATCAGAACCAACACAGAGATACCAGCTGCTCTATATTAAGGCTGCTGAAGACTTTACCAGATTTGGGGATTCTGTAATGAACACTGCCTACTTATTGATCACCTAACACACTGTAGGTCACCAAAATTTGTGATGTGTGTCTTGACATATGCTGCAAAGTCAGGAACCCAGATTTCTCTCTACTTGTTATGGTGACCAAAATGGTCACAGCTTTGAGTGCTGAGGAAAAGCACTATTCACCTGTGTGGTATATTCTTATAACATATGCTGGCCAGGCTAATTATATTCAATGTATACCTTGACTGAGGTCAGATACAAAATCTGCTTCAGATGTTGGTAAAGTTTGACTCCCTTGAGATGCATGATAACCGGTGACTCCATTGTGAGTCGTGGCTGTAAAATGTAGACTGAGGACGCGACAAAGACATAGTTAAAATAGGTTTGAAAAAATTTCAATAGGAAGCATTCCTTTACAGAACTACTCTGTGACAAAAGAACTAGATGCCATATTTGATTTAGGAATCACTGACAAAATTGTAGTAAATTATAAATTAATTAACAAAGATTAAATGAAAATTATCAACGATGTTAATGATGGGCTATACAACCTGTTGACTCCTAACATTGACAAGCATCTGATTTCATTATACAATCCTACCCCTGAATTACTAATTCAAGTCACAAGAATAAAGCTAATAATCAGCAATTAAGGAAGTTTTTGATTGTTAAACAAATTCTCCCTATCAGCACCCTAGGAAATGTCTAAAGAACAATATAGAGAATATGCATTCTGATGTGGGGTGTAAAGAAATAAAGGAGTGGGAAGTATTTCTGAACAATTTTGGCCATAATTCTTTCTAATGACAAAATAATTGTGTATTCTTTTTCAAGCTGAGTGAGAATTTCAAACAATGTTTTTTTTATGGATAGTTTTACAAGAGAACAGTTATATGTATGTTATATTTAACAATTGGTTCATAGGTCAGCGTGTGTTCATCAAGTTATGAAGCAAGTGGGAAGTTTGGAGAGCCCGAAAGATGCGTAAGAGTTGCTTGAGGTGTAGCTGAGAGCAACTCTAGCTTCTTGAGTGCTCTCCAAACTCCCAAGTGCTTCATATCTTGATGAACCCACAGCTGACGTATGAACCAATTGTTTTATAACATTTTCAACTCAATGGAAAATTTTTTTTTCTCGAAGGATTTGTTTGCTGATGTCATGAGTGTGCACAATAGGAATATGAAGCACGCTCGCACAATTGAATTTGATTACACAAATTTACTAACTATGTTATAAAAATCATGAATAGATTGAGTGTGCTCCTTAGTGATTGACTTTTGATGATTCCTAGGAACCTTTGCAAGGGCTATTCAAAATTTTTTGGTGATTTATTGATATTCAGGGACAAAAAAGGCAACATTGCAGTTCTTGAATGTTTTGAAAAAGTTATAAATAACAGATGAGATTCAAGTAAGCAACTTTCATGATTTTACAGGATAGGACAACCCTCTAAAATTTGTATCTCTTCGAACATGAGGCTTATCAGCTCAGTTGGTAGTAGCAACCAACTAGTACCTGTGAGGCATGGGTTTGAATCCCATCAAAGACTGAAGGTTTTCAGACTCTATTCTTCAATTGCTTAGTTTACAGCACACCTGCAAGAATTGTTACTTTACTTGATTTTCATCCACAGGTCAATTAAAACTTATCTCAGTTAAAATCTTCAACTTTGAGCCTACTTAATAATACAGATGAATGAAAACAGAATCTGAAAATTAGCCACATGACAATGAAATGCAGTAGCTTGATTGCCCAGGAATTATAGAATTATGTCAATTGATTGCCCAATGATGTCTTTGTTTTCCTCAGCCGCCATTGAACAAAAACAATTAGTCACAGAGGACCTCTGTTTTGGTTGTAAAGACTGTGCTTAAGTTAGAAATCGTGAGCTTCCTTTATCACTGGCTCCGGTAGTTCAAAGGGTGGATAGTGCTATCCTCTAGATAAATCACTATCTGGTGGATAACACAGTACATTTTATCCACACTTTTCTGCCGAATAGCAATTCATCTGCTGTTGGAGAGTGTTATCCGCTTTTTGAACAACTGAGTCCAGATGTATAATACTGTGATGTAAATGATTATTTTAAAACATCTTCTTATATTCGTAATGTTCCCTTAGGCAAAAATAAAAAAAATTGCTATCTAATCTTAGGAGTTGACAAGTTTAATTTAAAATCTTGTTTGATACCGACCTGCCGTCTTCCCCAACAGTCGCTACAGCTAATTCGTTGGAATCACCCACGTGTTTCACGTCCACAGGATCAAAACTGGAAAGAGTAAAGCCGGGTAAGGATGTTACAGTTGTGGTCCCATCAAGTGTTGGAGTAAGAACCGCCAAGCCAGTCGACCCTGGTACCGAGGTTACAGAAAAGGTTGCAAGAGAGGTGCTGGATATAGCCTGTGAGTCCAAAACCTGTGCTAGCGCGGTGGCTGTCGCGCAACTCGTTCCGTTTACAAGCGAAGAGTCAGCGTGCAATGTCGGATTTTCCTCAAGGTCCATGGCTGAAGCTGTAAGAAACACGCGACCTCTTTTTCTACAGGAAGTGAGTTTCTCGTTTATTTGTTTTTGACGGAAGTGATTGTCTGGACGATTTTTTAGAGGGGGGTACGGTGTTTCTTCTTTGGGCTCAATTCCACTAAAATGGCGGTCAAGCCTCAATAATCCGAACCACCCTCGAAGGCAAAAGGTAGAAGTATCAAATTCCCGGATAAAGAACCCTTAATAGTTATATGAAGAACAAGAGCCTTCGATAGATAACCGCTGATCATTTCTAAACGAGCGACGGTGCAAGACAGCAAAACTTGAACCCGGGAAATTCAAAGTGGACCTCTGTAGATTTATTCAAACAGTAACTTTTGCGACTCAGCTCACCACTTTGCACAAGGTAAGCTCTCAAACAACTTTTTTCAGAAAACATTGTTATTCCCATCAGAAAGGCTAGTGTGGTTCTAAGTTCACCGAAATGCGATCGATCGTTCATTTCTGAGCTTTCCCCGAGTTAAAAGAGAATATCTTTCCGTGATAAGGTCATCAAAACTTTAAGTTATATCATCGTTATGTACGCATAAACGAAGACTATGTGCCCTCGCCTTTCTTTTGTATCCAGTCTTGTTTCGTCTTGCTCTTGTGAGGAAATCGTGTGGAGAAATACAACGGCGATTTTGCAAAGTGATGATGATATACGTGATTGGCACATTACCTAGCAAATAGCTGTTGAGAAACCCGACTTTGATAACACGAGCTATATACGGATATAAGATATTCGGTGCACGTGAGTGAAATATGCCCGCAATGCGTGCTTGTGAAAAAAGAGTACAAAAACGCCCAAGCCACGTTGCAGTGTAAAATGCCCAATTGTGGAACGGCCTTTCACTTTTCTAGCGTTTTTACCTCAATTGAATTTGAAAAAACCTTTAGTTACTTTTTTGCCTTATTCATCCACTTCCTTTCATGTGGAAAGCGACTGGAGTGGTGGTAGCTAAAAAATTTGGACTTTCTTTTTTATTATTTTTTTTCGTAGTGTGCAAATGAAGTTTCCATCTCAAGCGATGCGAGGAGTGAGAGAGTGTCGCTTTGAAAGGTAAAAATTGACAGCGTCATTGGTAAACAGGGGGGGGGGGGTGCGGCAAAAAGAAAATTTTACGGACGGAGTTATATGCTTATACTCTTTATATTTCTCTCAGTCTCTGCCCCAAGCACTCTTTCCTCGTTTGCTCGCTACTCTAAAAGAAAAAGGTTCAACACAATAATCATATAATTACGGATTTATCATGGACCATTTGCCTCCATTAATAGTGTAAGGACATTCGAACTCACGAACCTTTTCTCAACGTCGATGAAGATAAATGTAAACTATCACCTGCATGGAACAATTTGCTGGAGAGCAAATTTCGACGGAGAAGTAGATCGGAATCAGCCGAAAACTGAGTCGAGTTAGTGAGAACTGGTCCCACGTTTCTCATTTATTTATCAATTTCTCCATTTTTTTACAACTATTTTCCTTCGACACAAGGATAATTAGGATAAATGTCTCTTGGAAAGGTGACTGGTGCAGTTCTAAGATTCTTGACAATCGGCTAGCGTAAATAATTTACATGACAAGGGATCGATGCAATTGACATTCTTCACGGCAAAAAAATCTAACGGCCAAAGTGGCCGTTAGCTTTTTCTCTATGGAAGATATAATTCATAACTGGTAAGGAAGGGATACTTTCTATACGAGGCTTTCTGAGAAAGCAGGCCCTGGTCACCTGCGTTACACTTTCCCGCCAAAACTGTAATACGTCGTGGCGTCGCAATGCACCATCTCACTTTTGGCGGGAAAATGGTTTGCTTCGGCGTACGGTTATTAGATGACAATCCTTTTGGTTCTTGGTTTGAAGAATGCTTTTGTTGGGCATAGGCTTATTTTATCTGTATGAAAGTAGAAAATCTCTCTTGGTCTTCAAAAAACTGCAAAGAACTGTGAGCAAGAGGAAAATTTGTCTGAGTTTGAAACTGTTCTCGAAGGAAGGTTAGTATGTTGTTATTGGCGCCGAGCAGAGACAAACTTTTTTTCTGCACGAGTTTGTAGCGTATACATAATATTTTTATGGTTTTGGTGTAATCTTTCGGTCGACGTTAGAATAATACATCTAAAGTAAAAAAATCGATCATGTTCAATTAAGTGTTTTTTAAAGGAGAACTAAGTCAACTAGCATTATAAGTAGAGAATAATAGGTGGGCGCGCGTAGATATGAAGTTTTCTCTTCGAGTGTTTAACGCGATAGAGATGTCGAGTTAAACACGAGAAGAGAAATTTCACATCTACAAGCAATTATGTAATATTTTGTTTATCATATAAGCACAATAGCCCTTTACTGATAAGAAAAGTCGACTTTATTTATGAATGAAGATAAAAGGTCGAGAATCCCCCAATACAAATCGTAATGTGCTTTGGCGCAGTCAAGATGAAAACATGCTTTAAATCACTACAAAAACAAACAATGGATCTAATTTTCAATATACAAAATTTTCAGTTATTGACTTGGTCCTTACTGACAGAAGAAATCTTTCAGGCGCACGGCCTAAATTGGCCTGTGACAAATCTTCCAGTTGTCAATTTTCGTTCTCAGCGGCGAGAAATGCCATTACCAAAGCCACTGAATACGTAACTTTCGATTTTTCTTTTCGTATTTTGGTTTTCTTCCCCTTCTAGGAAAGTTTGAACGTCACTGTCTGTAAGCAATACAGATTTTTCAGTGTTTTAGCAGTCATAACTCGAAAAAAATTCCGACAAACGACCTTGAATTGAGAATGGTGAAGGCTTTGCCGTTCATTCATTAGAGTGATTTGGCAAGAGGACGGGAACGTCATTTCAGAATGGGAAAGCGCGCGGATAGTCTGGACACGACTCTATTTCGACTTCCGGTGTTAGCGTTGCCGTTCTCCCCAACAAGTTCAGACCGTCATTACGCTGGTTTTCCTGCCGCGATCAAAACGCCTGGAATTTGCGTAAATTGTGCGCTTATAAACGAGATGTTTGGAATTATTTCAGAACTCATTTCTGGGATAACCTGGTCCCTTCCTTTGGTTTATTCGGTGTATTTTGGGAAAATTTAACGCTCCATTTATGCCGAATTCCCGAAAGGAAACACAATCGTTGGCAAGCGCCGGATCCAAGATTTTAGGACTCAGTACACTTGTAATTGAGCAAGGCTTAAAACGCGAAGGGCTGCTCTTTGATACATTTCTTTAATCCTGTACGAAACTCTAAGAATGGGACGCTGTTAATTTTATCATGAATCAATTCATCAATAAATTAAACTTGCTTCATGTTGAAGTTTATCAAAATGAAATATCACGACGCTTACCTACTGTATTATTCAGTGTTATTTGTTGTTATTGTCGTTTTTACCGTGATTGAAAACTTTTCTGCGTATTGAAGTCAGAGATGAAAAAAATTGAGAATAGCTCAGGTATGCACTTTTTTATGTTTGAAATTTTTGATCAGGACCGGTGAAAACTAAGACAAGAAAGTCATGCTCTCGCTTCGAAATAAAATGACAATCAACTTGATTCGGCACGGCTTTCTAAATCTTTTAATTTGATTGAGTCTTGAACGACTTCATTCGTTTAAAAAATAATTAAATTGAACAAAAACGAAAAAAAAAAAAAAACAGGAACGAAGTCTTACTCCTAAGTCTAACCGCTTCGTTGGTGACTAGTTTGAGTTAATTTCATTCTTTGAAGGATAAACAAGGACTCATCGTAAACAACTTCATCGTTGGGTCGCCTGATTTCTACATGGTTTCGCCATAACTCCTGATAATTCCGTTCAAAATGTATTTCAACTCTAAGAGGGTGGTGCTCAAAAGAGATGTACTGTCATAGTTAAGAAGAATATTCAGTAAACAAGAGGAAAAACGACGACGATTTCCAAATTATTCTTTACAAAATTATGAAGAAAAACGAGTAGTGCTGAAATGTAGTAGCACGAAACGAAATGACAGGGACACACGCTATGATTTGAAATCATAGAAAAAAAAAACTATTTAGTGGGCTTCAAAATTTGATAGATGAATCAGCAGACTTGAGACTAAACTGAAATGGACTAGTTCCAAAGTTTAATCGCCCATATGGATTCACAGTTAACAACTTACTTGTCGTATCTATAACTATCCTCTCTTTGCGCTTGTTACATAACTCTCAAAGAGGATAATTTCGTTGTCTTTAGAGTGGTCTATAAAACCGAAAATTCAAAGGTGATGGGGATCTTTATAAAGCTGAGGTGATGATTCTCGTTGCAATAACTGCTAAATCACTTATCAACACAACGCGACGGCGTTCTCGACCCAGTTTCTTATCGACATTTTTGCTGCGCGCGCCGTTCTGAAATGACGTTCCCGTCCTCTTGCTAAACCACTCTACTTTGCTCGGCGGTAAACGCGAATTAGCTTGATGTCTACCAAATTTCCGACCAGATAACAATTGTTCCCAACTTTTGCGCTTAACAAAGCTAGTGGCAATGATTTAGAATAACATTCATTCAGAATTCTTTTAAAAATCTTATTTACTTGGGAACGAAGAGCATAAAGTGACTCTCATCAACGCGGCTTCTTAATACTAAAGTTCGTGAAAATTTTCTTGTGTGTTCACTATGTAGGTTGTTTTTGACAGGTTTCAGCATTTATAGAACTCGCTTTGGATTCTAGAGATGACTCTGTGAAAGCTTTGATTAAAGGAAAGGCAGTGACAAATAATTTTAAGTAACGAGAAAACAATTGATCGCGAGTCTAAAAATAGGTTGACGACAGGTAAAACTGCGTTCACATTTCACGACTGAAACCTAACCAACTGAGATCTATCCCATAAAAAAAGTTTCCATAAACACTGAAAAATGTGTTTTAGGCTTGGAAACTTTACTATGCGTTAGTTTACTATCGCTGTGGCAGACCATTTCTGACCCCAAAGTTCACGCCCTATGCCTTGTCAAAATTGAGGAAATCTTATTAATTAGAGCTTGTACTTTCATTCTGCGTGCATACTTCTGCATCAGTTTTTATATTTTCTGGCTGGGTTCTTGGTGCCATATCATTCATTTAGACGTTGTGCTCTTAGCACTTCTCACCGGCAGTGCGTATTTTGGGCAGCTTTGATTACTTTATCATGAATTGATTACCCTTTTTCATTGGTTTTCCGAGAATTAGCAACTAAATAAACTAAATCAGAGTTAGTGTTGTTTTTGTCTCACTGACAAACCGCTTTTGTTTTAAGACAATAAAACGCGAAAAGCTTGTAAATCAATTGCAACTGACAGCTTTTCTCGTGTTCTCCCAACATTCCGCTTGGATTTGTCACATTACAAAACCCTGCAAAATATGTGGTTCCCTTACATAAGAGGCATACAAGACTCTTCTAGATAAATATGAAATGAAATCTAACTCATTGATAAGCGTAGCCTCCAGAGTGAGAAAGATCATCCAGGACCTTTCTGTGTACGAAGCGTCACTTGTTTATTGTTGTATGAGATCTTTAGTGTCAAATTTTAATGCAGGCCTTATTTCAACCATTTGCATCAAGTGAACGACGTAGTTGAAAAAATGATTTTCTGAGCAGTTCGTGCAAACGTCGAGTGGTTGATTTATTAAATTATTCGAAGTCAAATTGAGAGATCCATCTTGATATAAATACTGTTCTGCAAAATGAAAGTGGTTAAATGTATCTATCAAGGAGTTTCGCCAGACTATTTCCTTACAGGGCGAATACTGACTACATTATCGATGTAATACATGTGCTTTTCTCAGTTGATGCACTGATACAGTAAAACATACAAATATTTCTATAGCGTTTACATGTTTCTGTCGTTTTCCGGTTCCCTTGCACTTAAATGTAATGGCCTTGAGAGCCCAATATATAAGCGTATAAACTTGTGCCGGTAGTTGGTTGTGACTCTCTCTATCGGATATGCAAGTAAAGAAAATAAACTGATCTTGTACAAAATTCTTAGCTTTCTTCAGTCAGCGGGCTGAGAGATAAAGGGTTTTTGACAAATAACCCTTAATCATACAAAACGAAACTGTAAAACGTACCACGTGTGTATCACATCATAATAAAGTCAGTCATTTTATATTTTCATATTTCTTCATCATTGGATTTTATTCTGATATAAGAAACCTGCCCGATACTAAATACCGATACCATGCTTTGGCGTGGTGGTTGAAAGATGTTTGGTGAAAGGAACTTGAAATTTGGCTGTGTTAATTCTCCGGTACGTGCTTCTCTTTTATTCCGTGTTTCTCAGAACAAGACACCTCCTTGTTTAGGTATGCAAAAGCTGCACTAGAGACAATTGATACTTGTGGGAAATAGAAGTGATGTGTGCCAAGAAATTGAGGATTTAACCCTACATCAAACCAGCATCCCGGAAGAGTAATCCGTTACAATTCCAATCACTTCTTGCTGGTGAGGGAGCAGGATCTCGTAGAATTGAAGCACAATTTAATTAACTGATACTTGCTGTGACACCACCGTTTGTGTCACGTTCTTTACAGTGCTTAAAAGTTATTTTTATGTGCTAATTAACCTTGCTTTCTTTTCATGAATTCAATTTTGTAATTTCCCCTTTTTACCATTTTCCACACTTGTTCCTAAATACAACCAGATGCTCGAATGCAAGGTTTTAATTCTAACGATCTCATCCTTCTGACAGCATCAAAGACAGTCTGTAATAAATCAGTGAAATGAAATTAAACCCTAACGTTAGGGAATGAAAACGGGGTATGGAACACCTCGTACTTTGACGAACAGAAAAATAGACCGCTCAGAACGAAATTAAATACCCACTTCTTTCTATTCTCTTTTAGGAGAGCAGAGGGAGATAGGAGAGAAAGCAGCACTGGCATGTAAATATAATCATAATTCATTTCTTATAGACAAGTAGAAAAAGGTTACGGAAGTTGCTATCCCTATGGGTTGAAAGTTGTCACTTTTCCAGCTTTTTTTCAACCAGGTTGCTTTCGCCCTTAAAGCTCCCAAGAGTTATTTGCATTTGATTTTCCCTTGCAATGAACCATTATAGGTATAGGTCTAAAGAATCGAAGAACTAATCGCGTAGGAGAAATTGCGAAATATATGAAAATATATATAGAAAATATATGAAGACCAGTGAGGAGAATTATATTAAAAGAAATATGTCAATGTTTGAGTTAGTTCGACATTCCCATCCGGTTTTTTTAGTTCAAGGAAGTGTTACACGTCATGATTCAGAATATTTTGAGGTTGCCTCTTTATTGATTTGCTGTAAGTATCAAACCTGTGGAAAGAGAAGCATGCACACTTGAGGAGTAATGGGTTTTGATTAAGAACACAACATGGTGATTGAATGAGGTCTTAAACCTCCACTACTCGATTAGGGTACTGCCATATATGAAAGAGAATTCGCCAGTAACTTTTGTGACTTATCATAAGTCCACTTTCAGTACCTCCACTTTGTCATTTTTGTTTTCTCTAGTCTTCTCTCATCGTGAGTTGATGGCTTTACCGTCAGCAATTCTTCTCTTTTTAACTTGCAAAGCAAAGAGGATTAAAATGTTAGTAAAGTAACGAGATGTGCAAAATCAGCACACCCCGATACTCTTATTCTTGAAATACAAGCGGGGCTTTTAGTAGTGATTTTGCTCAAACGAGAATGTGATCTAGTAAGTCGATGAGGCAAAAATTATCCACATTCGTTCAAGTGTTTCTTCAATTTGATAAAAAAAGTAAAAACTGCCACAGCAATCATAATTTCTAGACGAAATAAAAGGCCGAGAACGTAATGATCAAGCTAAAAGTACAACATTTGTAAGATTGATTTGGGATCAAAACGCTCATTGGCTGCTATTAGGGAGGGTTTAGTAGACTCTATTCTTCATTCCTTGTAGATTGTGAAAATAACTGCACAAGACACGACCAAAAACTGAATAAAAACTCGTGGCTAGGCGCTGTACATAGACTTTTCATTTTTCCTATGAATTTCCATTTTAAAAGTTTATTCCTTTAATTATCATGGTGATTATATTTTCTTTGCCAGCTGTAGGTAATCAACATATCTCTATCATTCACTGGAGAGTTATTAACCTCGAAACGACCTCAACTCCTTCATACTGGATCCAGACTTCATTCATCCGGTAAGAAAACGTTTGTTATTGACAACTAAATATATTGTAAGTTTGCTGTTTCCGCCGAAGTGAAGCTACAATATATTTAACTAGTTTGGTTAACTATCCTTTCCAACTCATACTATCTCGATTGAGTTGCTCTTTGAAAGGTCACACGAAAGACAGAAGCGTATATTTGAATCTTTTAAAAACAAATTAATATATAAATTTAGTCTAGAGAATGTTTCATCATGGAAACCTTACGCCTACGCCTGCATGTATCTATTTTTAAAGAATGAATTTCGAAATTGAAAGAAGGAATGCAGACGCAAATCCGCTTGTGATCTTTTTTTCAGTGAAATAACAAAACCTCCCTTTTTATCTCCCGCCCCTGGCCACTCGTTAAAGGAGACGGCATTTCTGCTCTTAAAAGGCGTGGCTTTTTTTCACTCAAATGATATTGTATCGGTGATCTCTTGTGTTTTGTGTGCTTGGATGCTATCGTTACTGGGTTACGTTAATCAGCTGTGCAGGGAAAATCGTTCATTCTAGGTGCCCTTGAGCAAGAAGCGGATATTACTAATGCAATTAAAATTTCCTATCTTTACAAATGATTTCCTCAGAGCATCTTTAGGTGAAAGTTTGAAGTGGTTCCTCTAAATAAATTAGTTGCTGTTAATCAAATGCAGCATTTCAAAGAGGGAAAGAGATCAAAGAGCGATCCTTAAGGGATATTGGATCTCATGACTCGAAAAAGTCGAGTGCTTCATACACCAAATGTTTTAAGCGATTTTATTAGAGATAAGACAATGTTTAGCCCCGTGATGGGATGATTTTTGCGGATATCGTGTTAAAAGGAACCTAATGGAAAGAGAACTTATCTTTGCAAATTCAACAGGAATAACAAGAAACATCTTCCGCTTGAAACGGTGATTCATTTTAATTGATAAATTAAGGACAATGATTTCCAATTTCAGTCTCGAAAGAAAGAAAATTAACCATTAATGAGATTGGAGTTTGACGTTTTTGAAAACAATGGCGCCCCTAAGAGTGCTTGTTCGTCGGAGTGTCTTTTAGGCCAAGAGCACTGTTCTCACGCATTTAGGGTTGCTCCGAAACTCGACCAATATTTTAACTGTTGATTCCAACCGCCTTTTTTTTTTTTTTTTTTTTTTTTTTTTTTTTTGACAACTCTTTCAAGATATTATGGGCCAATGGTGTTAAAAAGGAAAGTAAGTATAGAAAAAAAAAAAAAAAAAAAAAAAAAAAAAGAAAGAGACCGAAGTAATAGAGGAAGAAAACACTTAAAATCTTACTGCTGCCGTGTTCTTTATATCGTTTGCATCAACCGCGTGATGGAAACAACTGACTTTTTAAAATTCTTCACATAACAACAAAAAGCAAAAGTCCGGGAGGCTTTGTGTGTGGTGGTGTATTAAACACGCTGAAATGAGATGCTTCACTTTTTTTCGACGAAATTACTAATGTGGTTATATAATTATTTTATTGTCTTCTGTGCCACAATGTATTTCTCAATTTGAAAAGAATTCAAAGCGCAATTTCCTTTGGCTCCTTCGTAATTGTTCTTTCGTTAAATTTATCTCCTCTGGAAATTGATGAACTCACGTCTCAGATTTTCAATTTAACAATGAGGAAAACTGAAACGCGAAATTCTGACGGCTTTGGTACCTCTGAGAAGAGAAAAGGAATATGAAAGAAAACGTGCTGTTGGTTTGAAAATTCGAGAATCTCCAAACCGTTTTTCCATCCTAGATGTGCTTCTCGATCCGCCCCTTTCTGTTGATGCTCTCTTAATGACATGGTGTTGGCATTAAGTTCCTTTCTTTTACCTAAAAAACTGTAGATCGAAGAAAGGTAGGAAATCCTTATGTATGCACTCTGGTTTCGAATCTAGTTAAAGGGATATGGTCATTTTTAACTTTTGAAAATACAAAAGATGTAAATGTGTCATCACGTTGTGACTGAAAAGCCCTGTTGAAGGGAGTCTCAATAAAGTATGTATGTAAATATAAGTTTGCTACTCTGTACCAATAAGGCGGTTAAACGTGACCCAAAATAACATTATGTATGATTATAAGTTGTTATCGAAGTATCTTCCACACAACGAAAAGGATAACTTTATTGTAGAACATAAATTTGCGGTTTCCTTTATTAGTAAGATTCATTAACTGAATTCCCCCAAATCACTTCTACTACATGATGCTGATGCGATGCTGATAGCGCGTGCGAGATGTCAGGAATATCATGTTAAGTATATGGAAGCTGTTTAATCGTAGCAAATAACAAGGTGGTATTTGGCCCGTTTCGAATTTCATTAAAATTTCAAACTTTATTTATTGCAGCATGTTCGTCGAATATTCTTTCTTTTTGTTAGTGGGCCCCGCTGATTAGCGAAACCACAAAATATTTCGGAAACCCTCAAAATGATATCGGGAGTGTTTTCTCGATGTCTTCATCTGAGATTTTTATATTCAAAAATATACATACCACTGCTCTCTTTTCGCTAGTGAGAATTTATAATCTCTTTCGGATTAATCTCAAAAATTTCAGTTTAATAAGCACAACATGGTTGTAGATCAGAAGGGAAGACTTAAACTAGAGGAAAAATTTTCAACGGAACCGGTTACGCCAATACGGGCGCAAAGACATTTTCGTTGAAAGTGATTCATCGTGATTAAAAAAAGAAATAGCAAGGGACACTTTTCAATTTGCGCTGTCATTAAATTTTGATACGTTGAGAGGGAAACTAGCTATATGTTTTTGTTTACTTAGCTCACATTCTTACTCCACGTTTTGATTACTTTCGGTTTTTACGTAATTTTTCCTTTTTTGGGAGCAGTTGAAAGCTAGAAATCTAGATTCGAAAGAAAATGTTTTTATAGATATATTAATACTCTTTCGTTTCCTTCTCATTTGCGAGAGTCGTGAATTCTGTGAAAACAACAGATGGCCATTACATCTACATAAGCGAAGGGAACGACTTTCTTTTGTCTTGCCAAAGGAAATGTTGTACTTTGATAAATGAAATTTATCGCCCCTTTATTTGTCCGTAATTTGCGAGCGTTTATTCTTTTGAAAGATCGAAGACGTGATATAAAGGCAGGATGATTTGTTAGCTGTTGAGGATTCGAAGATTAGAGGGCGAACAAGTCGGAAAAACGGAGCAATAAAACACGACGGGACAAGTAATTACATAGATTGAAATACATAGATTGATTGAAGTCTCGCTAATTCAAACAATAAATGTAATAAAAGAAGAAAAAAAAGAGAGTAGCAGGACGCAAACGCGAAAAATATTCTTAAAAACTTATCAGACGGGCTTATTCTAAAGTCTGTGTACTAATCCCAAGTTACACCAAAGCTTTGAAATATATTTACTTAAAAGATAGGTATCTTTCTGAGAACGACTCGGAAATTGTCCTAATTTTAAGGTTTTTGGCAGTAATGGAAAGAGAACAGATCACAATAGCAATGATAAATCTGGTGAAGATGTCGTATTTAAAATAGAAATAGTAGAAATTTCCGTGGATACAGAAAAGCCGTTAATGCGAATGCTATCAGTGTTAAGAGTATGCATGGCCACTGACAAACTAAATCGGTGTCGCTCACCAATCATGCAATGCATGTCATCCTTGCATCAGTACTACATTACTCTGTTCATCGTTTTGCCAAATTCACATTATCTTATTGGACACCAGACGATAAATAGTAAAGCTGTGCATCGTTACTAAGTAGACTAAAAACAAATGATTTTATCTAGTATCTTTAATAACCTTGATTCTTGGCATTGACAAATATTTTTCTTAAATCGTAAGTCAATTGTCCAACCCTTGCTTTCATACTCATACTCCCTCTTATTTATCATCATCTCAATGAAAACACGAGATATATTTTGAACGATTACAACTTAGGAAGCAAACGACCTAAAATGTTCATGAACGATATTTTCAACAACTCATCAACTATTAAAGGAAGATGTAGTACTTTTTGGACCGTGGAATAAAAGGAAAAGTCTTCCTAACGCCTACCAATTTCAACCTCGCGTTCTGATACTTGAGTTTCAGAAACCTCGTGGCGAGCTCGGCCGTATCATAGTATGCTAGATTCATTTGGGACTCTAAAGCTACCGAACAGTTTTTGTGTCCCAAGACAAGGTAGTTCAATGCCCTCCGAAAAATGCGTTTTCGTGCTGCTTGTTTCTCGGAGAACTCAACGAAGAGAGCATATTTTTAACTCACGCACACAGGTTTCAATGTCGTTTGTGAGTTACTCTTTGTTCTAAGCTGTTATTTAGGAAACAAATGTTTAGATATACGACCTCTTTGTAAAAGATCGAAGTCAGAAAATATTGTTAGTGAACTGCACAAATCACGAAATTGGAAAGCGTTGAAGTTACAACAGTTTAATTTTTAATTTCCTCCCTTTCAAGAAAACAACATTTTGATTTAAGTTGAATTGTTAAACCATTACCTGGTTTGATTTTTCGTGTTTTAGACTGCGTGGTATTTTCTCTTGCTTTCTAGATCTCTAGTCTCTGAAGTTTCAAAGGAATTTTCTACGGTCTGGTGACGATTGCTCTCAGCCCTAATTATGTCGACCTACGCGTTGAAATCACGAATTTATAGGCTATATACAGTCAAGATTTGAAAGGAAGTAAATGTTCTCCTACTTTTAATTATCATTATTATTTTGGCTTTTAAAAGGCACTGGTTAAAAACTGACTTTTGTATAGATGTATGGAATTTTTAGTAGTGGGCTCCCGCTTAGTTTTATTGAGTCTCTTTTGTGAGAATCATGTTTGAAAGTAGGGTCTAGATCGAGGAGTTTCTAAATAGCGTAAAAGTATCCTATCATAAAATTTTCCTTAATCTTTCAGATTTCGTGTTTAAAGAATAGTCGGACCAAAAAAATACAATTTTGACACCACCGAAACTTCGTGAAAACCTTTTTCATGAGGTGCTTTAGGCTAACTGTCTCACGCTTACTGTTTACTATAACCGCAATTAAGATCTAATGTATTCATTCTAATTGTTTGATTGTCAACAACACGTACGATGCATTCGCGATCAAGAAAGTATGAAAAAGGGCACTATTCTCTCAGTTACCGAAGGTACAGCAACAACTAGTGCACGGTCGAAAATCTCGGAAAATATAGGCTATCATTGAAGATTCTCGCACTTGAAATGCTTGATTTATTGTATCAGTTAAACTTACCTGAAAACATAGTCGACTCTATTTCGGCGAGAAAATCAATTCCGTTGCCTGAAGGCGTAAAATTGTGCACATAAGTTAACCTTAGATTAAGGGACATCGTTTCAATCGTTGATCGAAACAATACTGATATTGTGCTCTACTGAAGTTACTTGAAATAGACAGAGGGCCAAACGAGGACCGTATCGATAGTTTTGAGTTTCCTTGTACATAGTTTCGTTTTGAGGGTGAAATTGTGAGAAATTCAAGAGATAACTTAGGTCACGTAGGATAATTCTGATTTGATGTGCATTTACTCCACAGTTCCTCGACTCAGCTCAGTGGCTTGTGTATGGGGTCCCAGGGTTTCTCAGTTTGAGCTGTAACTTTTGTTGTTTTAATATTGGGAAGCCAAATAATAAAATGAGCTCGTTTGGTTCAGCGTGAACTGTTGTAATCCTGGTTGTCGCTGGATATGAACTGTATGAACTCCGCATTTCGTTTTCCAGCTTAATTCTGTCCAGGAAAGGTTTTTGATGAAGAAGATACCCTAGCCAGAAAAACAAAACTAGACTTCTTAATTTCTGGAAAGAAAAGAAAAAAAATACGCAAGTAATTTTTGTGTGGTGTAATGCTCCCTCTTTCTACAGGAAATTGTCTGTGTCAAATTGTCTTCCTACGACTTGTACATATCTTCCCATCAGATTCCGTGGTTTGAAAATTCTCACGATCCACCCTTATGAAAAAACCGCATCTCAAAAAGAGTCCTTTTTTAGACTTAATTCATCCGGTCACAAGGATAAGCCAACGCTTTTTGGAGACATAACCAGTATATTGTTTATTTGTTTCATATAAGAAATTGGTTATTAAACTTTTTTCGACTTCACTTTTCTTTTTATCGGGTTCTGTTTATTACGTAATTTAGGCTCCTTTGCCTATCTAGTTTGAGTTTGAGCGGAATCTTTTAAATGCCTTTTAAATAAATGATAGTATTGCAATATATAAACAGATACCTAGTGAAGTTTTTGCAAACAGGATTTTTAATTATCTTCACAAGTTTAAAACCATTATTACTTGTGTTCCACTTTTTGTTAATATTAGGAAAGTACTTTGTAGAGTGTATTCTGGACTTTTCGATCTGGAAGCCCCCGGAGGGATATGAAATCAACGGTTGTTATCTCAAATGATCCTATACATAGGCCAAGCATTTTAGATGATTATTTTCAAGTTTTACTTCAAGTAGAACTACTTTTTGATCGTTAGGAATTTTCGTTTCAAGAATGCGAGCTATGAGTTCCCTTTGTAGCCGTGCGTGATTTACAGAGCCTGAAATGCTGTCCACTTGTAAGGGTCAATGATTTCGACCCCATTTGGATGACTTAGCGAATAGGAATCTATATTAATCGTTTGCTTTCGTCATCTAGGGCGAATTAATCAACAGTGGAACCTTTTGCAGAGGCTCCGGCTATTTTTATCATATTTCAGCTCTAAAGAGCAATCTACCAACGCAGAGCTATATATCGTTGTGTTTAGACCGCAATTTGTGCGTGTGAACTGAAATAATCAGCGATGAATTACAATCTCATTAGTTACCTTAGATCGTGGTGTCCATTCAGGTTAAGTCGATTCGTAAGTCATCCGAGTAAGTGGATTTGCTGACAGCTTTTACACGAGTGTCTTTTGAAAAACAACCGCAAATACAAAGGAAATGGATTGTAATGTCAGTACGGAAAAATTGTTGGTCTAAACTTTAGTTTATTTTCCTCTCACGGGATCACCACAGTGCAGCTTACACACATAACTCTAGCTGATGCTAAGCTGCGAAAATCCATCTGATCTTGAGAAAGGGTTTTATAGCCATTCTCCGCCTTCGACTTTCAATCTGACAATGGCTAATTTGTTGTATATACAAAATCCACTGGGCGCTTTTATTGTAAACTGCTGATTAAATTAACGAAAAATCCCTTTTGTTTTACATAAACTGAAGATTACAGTGGACGACTTTAGTCAAGAAACGAAAACTTTTTACTGAGACTCTGGGAGGTACGGATGTTGAAATTTGGCATGAATGAATTTACGAGGGCCTGGAGCACAATACATTTACATGAGGCACGTTCACAGGAAAAGAGAGAAATTAGAATTCATTCCTTTCCATTTCGTTTCGACACAAAAGTTTTAAGTCGAGCCATTGTTCTCTTTGCTGATAATGTCTTCTCAGGAGAGCATTTTCGACACCTTGCTTGTCAACCTGTCGTCATTAATCATTCGCAAATACTAAGTGCGTTATGTAAATAAGGTTGTCTTGTTTGTGCTTATGGGGGCGCGATTTTTCCATTACCTTAACCGACCAGTAGAAAACGCTAAAAAGAATCTCATTTCCATTTGCCACAATAAAAGTGTGTGTTGACGTGTGATAAATTTCGGAAGCCACGCAAACGTTATCTATCTTCTCTTTTAATTTCGTGACACCTGTTGTCAGTGTTTGCTAAACTCGGTCATGAGGTAAACTCTTTTTTTCGAGCGGAGATCACTTTACTTGCTGTAAACCCTGTGCACAGTTAAGCCTACACGGTGTAAAAACCGTGATGAGAACGTAAGCCCTTGACTTAGAAGCCAAACAATGCCCGTTTTCATTTTTGCGTTCCACAAATGGTCGACGCAGCCTGCATAACGATCGCTGAAGAGTCCAATTGTCAATGGCATAATAACGCTCCACCCATTTTTGAACAGCGAATAATACTTTGCTTTTTATAGTTCGCTTGAATGAATTCACAATATAATTAGATTTAGACTTCAAGAGTCAGCAAATTACAGATTAAAAGTGACTTCTCCCAAGAGGATAGTCATTAACTATTAATTGAGCTAGCAAATGTACGTAACACAGGAAATACATAAATTCACGAAAACAATGGGCCCACTAAAAGACTGTCCACATCGTTACGTAGGGGTATAAATACTCGCGCGGAAGCGAAATCTGTCAGTCAGATGCGTCGAGGATGAAGGTGTAAAACACCTCGAAACAGGTTTCAAGTTAGAAAAGAATGGACGGTGCTATGAGTACGTTTGGTCTGCCACCGTTCGACATTGGTCAAGATTTTAGTATTCCGCCTCATTTACGCAACCCGGAAAATTTTAATGCTCGCTTTCCCAATGCACGTTTTCCCAGCGCAATTTCGAACATTTTCAGGGCCGGAGATTACGCCAGCAAAAGCGTTAGTGACGATCATGGCGGTCGCCACATGGATATGAGCAATGGAATAGAAGACATCTCCGAAATTGGAGACAACGAGCTGCCCATTTCTGTGGCCGCTATGAATGAACCTTATCTTACCTCGGGGACTACGACGCTTGGATGCACACAACAACAACACAGTTCTTTACACACAACGATTCCGCCGCTGCAATCGTCCAATTTTTTCTCCGACCCCGTCACTTCTGAAGCGGACTCTTATTCGAGGGACATGCCATTCGCGAGCCCTATGGATTTCAATATAAAGAACGAACAAGAGCCTCGATTTCACCTAAATCCAAGTTCTGCTATCTCAAGCATATCGAGTGCACTACAGCCCAACAAACCAAACATCATGCGTTCGATTTACGGCCCCAACTTAAATCCCTCTTTCCCAGATCCAGCCTCTCAGTCGATGTACACTTACATTCATCAAACGCCGGTAAGCAACGATTCAAAAGCGCCGCAGTTTTACCGACCGTTTCCCGGCTTCCCGCCTTTTGATACGCCAGAATCCATTCAGGACAATCACGGCTTTTCAAAGTCAGACGACAGCCGAATTTTTTCCCCGGTTCCCAGCAGTCACAGGCCTCAGATTATCGACCGTCAAAAGCCACAAGGCACCAACCGAGCGGACGCTCACGACGTTGAAGATGTTGACGATGCTAACCGTTGTAAAAACACAGTGGAAGGTACTAAAACGTCAGTTCGTCGCCTCAAGAAGTGGTACAAAGACAAGTACGGCAAATCTATCGACATGAACACTGTTACACGCCAAATGGCTCTAGAAATGTTGAAAGATTTCTTTCTCGAAATTCGCGACACGCGGCCAGGTAAAGAAGGAAACGAATACGAACCTGTGACACTGACAACGTACAGAAATGGTCTGAGGAGATATTTCCTCGAAAGAAAGTGTCCACCCGCTGTAGAAAACTTCGATTTGGCCGATCGAGAATTCGATGTAGTCAACTATGGCCTGGTCTCAAAGAGGAACGAGCTCAAGCGCAAAGGAAAAGGAAACCACCCAAACGTGGTTGAAAGCATTACCGAAGAGCAGTTAGAGAGAATGTGGGCCTCGGGAGCTATTGGAGTGCACGCACCGAGACCTTTATTACGACTCCAGTGGTGGATTAACACAGTCAGTCATGGAATAAGAGGACGCATGGCCCACCATGACCTAAGCATCGATGACTTTCGCATCTCTCGCGGCCCAGACGGCAAGATCATAATTGACCACATGAAAGCTGGGAACAAGAGACCAAGGGCGGACGAAGAGAAAGACAACCCTAGAAGCAAGAAAAAGTGCAAAGCCCGGGTAGCAGCCACCGATGGAAGCGAACGAGATCCCGTACGTGCGTTCGAGGTGTACCTCCGTCACCGTCCACCTGGTATCTCGTCGTTTTATCTCACCCCCAAGCACAAGCCTAAGGGAGATATCTGGTTCAATAAAGTGCCCATGGGCAAAAATTCTATCGGAAGAATCATGAGGGAAATCAAGGCAATTGCTGGGATAGGATAATTTTCACTGGCTGAGAACTCTAATTCAATGAGAACTTTACTGCTGCTTCAAAGGTAGCAGAAGGAACTTTATGACCATTGCAAAGGTCAATCGCCTCGCGCGAGACTTAACATAGAGACGGTTTCAAACCATTTTCCTTGAACTGAAGGACTGATACACTCGTAAGTAAACACTACAAATGGCTTCTGCTCTTTTAAAGAAGAAATCTTGAAATTTTTTATATAAAATTATAAAATTTTATGCTATTAAGAGTAAGAGAATCAACTATATGCGATACACACATATAAATATATCTATATATAAAATAATGTTTTTGGTATATCATTGGGAAAAAGTTTATTAAGTAACAACTCGAAAACAGTGCTCATGGGATTTTCCATCATTTGCAAGAATTTAAACCTAAGTATTTAATATATTAACTATGTCAGTAATAACCTTTCAGTGCTTACTTAAGTTTAGTTCGCGTTGCCTTTCAGTGATCCATTTATTTCAAAAGGAAAAACTCACGAGGTTTGCGAGAATTCTCAAAAGTAAGATACAACCGCGTGGCTTTGAAACGCTTAATAAATTAAAATTTAGAGGATTTTAAAAATAACGGAATTTCTCTTTGAGAGCATAGCTTTTTCACAGCGTCATGGAAGATCTCGTTTTGCAGCCAAAAAGATTTTAAATTGTAATGAATTCGTTATTGTCCTCGGGCGTTTTATCTTTTCTCCTTATCCATCAGGAGTTCAATGTGTTTTTCGATGCACAAACTCCTTACTAATCAAAACATTCTTGGCAAGTATCTTGTGGAAATGAATTATCTTGGAATATAGCTGGAATCTTTTTTTAACAAAGCTTTCTAAGAAAACTTTTAATATAAAAAAACATAACAAGAAAGAAAAAAGGGCCTTTCAAAAGGTCAACACAATTAGCTGTGAAAAAGGCGTTTCTTCACACACAGGTTTCATAGAACACCAAAATCTACAAAGGAGATTTGAAAAGTTGAAAGATAAGAGAATGTATTAGCTTATAACGATTTATTGTAATGAATATATTTTTTATCAAAATAAGCGAGGAGTGTTAAATTTTGTTCGCTAGGGCCATTTCGCACCATCGCCGCTTCCGCAAACGGCGTAGAAGTTCTTTAGTACTAGATTAAATTTCAGATAGGAGAAAATCGCCATGTAAATAGATTTATAGTTTCTTTCATTGCTTTACCTTGTGCCCACGAGAGCGTTTTATTAACTCTTAAGAGAACCCGACGAGCGGAAGGCAGTAGAAGCCGATCGTAGAACACAAATGTATTTAGATAACAGTTCACCATTGTTTAATAAAGAGATGGGACAAGACTACCTTTGTGTTAGTGATGTTAGATTACTCCTATCTTCGTTTGGATCAGTTTTACCGTTTTGCTAAGTAAAGGCTAGCAAAAGACCACTAAGAAGCGTGCTTTTACCGTTTGAAAGAATAAGTTTGCAATTGAGCTTTTTCGCAAATGCTTTTAAGAGCAATCGCTCGAGTTTTTACTCCAGGTTATTTAATCTCCTTGCCCTCATTCTTTCATGCCCATTTGAACGAATGAATTACTTCCATTGATGTACATTTTCACCATTTTACCTTAAAATTTCACCCGAAGAAATAGAAATAGTTGCACGGAATTAATTATCAGTTCCTTACGGTTTTTATTTATCCTCAAAGCCTTTCATGTTACTTCGCTTAAGGAATTTTATTTCTCGCAAATTAAGAAGGCGTTTACAAAGCTCAATTTTTGAAAGTTTACTCTACAGGAACAGAAAACTGTAATGTCTATTTTAGGTTACGCTGTTCATGTAAATGATCTTGACGAGTTTGTTCGTTACATTGCGCTTGTTTCTTGAAAGCTAATCTTTAAAGGTTCGTCTAATCTACATAGTAAAGAAATAAAATTCTAGCTGTGTGAGTAAATTATTTGGGTTCTCGTGAGAAATTATGGAAGCTTTCGTGAGTTGCTATGATGTTGTTTTGGCTCCTATTACAAACACACGGCAACAGTTCCGTGACTTCTAAATTGCTCTCCGTCAAACCAAACTCCCTTTGACGCATGTCAAACCCGACGTCTTGGTGGCAATCGGCGCGCGCAACAAAGTGAGCCGAAACAAGTCCTGCCTCTTAGACAAGCAAAACTAGATCCAATATCGGCACGATTCCCGTGGTAAAATTTCATTTCTTTCGAGAGCGACCTAGCAGTTTTTCTGCATAAGCAATCTGCGGTCGCCTTGTATGGGAAGTAAAAGAGTAAGGAGTAAATTGTTTCAAGAGGGTGATTATCACTTAGATTACGATAATAATAGTTAGGAGTCGACCAATATAACGGTGGCACGGTTGACGTTTTTGCGGGTAGAGGAACCGGTATTTTTTTGTCATAATTGCATGCTTCCTTTAAAGTTCATTCTGTTTACGTGACTAAAGGTACTCCTAAGAGGCATACAAACTCGCACCTTTTGGAAAGCCACCCATATCGACACAATTAAACTTCGGCAAAGGAAAAGGATTTCACTTACAAAAATAACAAACAAGTGGGCAGGCGCAATCTGATAGGATTTTTTTTGCGGCAAGTTGAGAGAGATTCTTAAATTATGAATAAAGCTTTAAGTTTTTTGTTGTTCCCGCCCCTTGGCGTGCCTTCCCATTGTCCAGAGACAACTCTAGAGTAAACACATAAAACGCGAGAGAGATTCACTGTACGCTTTGTAACTCTAACTAAATGGGATCTCCTTTCAGAGATGATTTTCTCAAGGCTTGTTCACTTTCGATTCTGCTATTGGTAACAAAAATCGTGATCATAGTAAATGATCGTGCTCCCAAACTACAGACAATGGGCTCTTCTAGTGGGTCGTTAAAGCGTGGGGCAATAAGTTGCGGCGACAATTTCACGCAATAAAATTCCCATCGTCCAATCAATGAAACACCTATGGACAAGATGTCTCGGTCCTTAACGAAAAAAAGATACCAAACGCAATACACATTCGCGGACTTTGGCTTCAAAGCACTGTCTCTATAACAACGCTCAAAACACTAATTTTAAGTTTTAAAAAGTGCCCTCATCTTGATGAAAAAGAGGCCAATTTTAAAAGTTACGTAATTGCGTTTCCATAAATATATACCTTGCGAAAAGGCAGAGGCCGCTTCTTTAGGAAAAAGATAAAATAGACGATAAACTGCACTTTTAAAATTAGATATCCGGTGGTTTTCTGAGATTGCATCGTCGCAAATTATTTAAGCGATTTTTAAGTTATTTTTATCGTGGCAGGGGGTTGTGACTTGGTTAAAATTGCGTCCATTTCGTGCTTATTCTCGATTTTCCTTTAACTCCGTTAGTGTTGGAAGCGGAAAGGTTGGAAGATCAAACTGAAATCGTTAAAAAACTCGGTTTCTTTTTAGGCTCATAAGCATTAAATATTCTAAATTTTGCACAAGTGTCAAAAAAAGAGTGAGTAGGTAAAGACGTTCACACTCCCATTTTTGTTCCTCGAGGTACGCAACATAGCTTCACAGGTGTTGGTTGAAGACTCGCATTACAGATCATGATCATGTCTGCCTTACCGTTTGGTTATACATGGTAAATATATGTTTACAAGTGTGTATTTCTTTTTCCTGCTAAAATATTTAAGGATTTACGAGCTTCTATGTTAGCCTTTGTAGAGATCTTCAGCCGGGATTTGCAGCCCGAGGGAGTTTTGATATACGGAAGGTTTGTTAAATGTGTATCGTGTGCTTTAGTCTAATATAAAAGGCGATGCGTCTAGATGACGCGACCCACAGCCAATCTTTGGATATGGGTTGACGTAGGTGGGTAGATAATGATTCTCTGATTGTCAAGGATCCTGAAAGTCACTTTAAACTTGTTAAAGACGACTGTTACTTTTTAACTTGGATATTCGGTACCTCCAGAGTTACAAAAATATGGCTAAATAAACCTTTTTTATTGTCCACTCAACAACGATATAAATTTGGTTTGGTCTCTGTAATTTCTTTGTTGTTCAATGCAAGCTATGAAACTCCAGTACTGGTTTTTCCTTCGGATGCGTGCTTTAGCAGTCACAATATTCTGCCTGCATCGGAATCTTCTGGTGGAGAGAATGAGTGCATGATATTGAAAGATGTTAGTGGACATTTTAATTTTGTGCTATATATAGTTAAAGCACGAATATAGATGCTATAGTTTCCGAGACTCATGTCTGTAGGTCAAATAAATAGCAGAGACAGAGGCACTTAGCAATGTTGAGATCGAGCCTAATAGACTCCAACGAGAAAAGCAAACAGCGAAGTCAGATAAGATAAGGGATTTGGCTTTGGATGCCCACAAAAATACTTGTGTTTACGATGTCTGTGACTGGAAAGTAAAGTGCAGTTGTTATATGGGAACGCGTGCATTAAGTGAACGATAAATCAAATGATTACCGATCACATAGTATTTCAAATTGGTTGGTCAGGTTTATTTGATATAGGGAAACTAGATGCTTGGCTGGGCAATAGAGAATATGATTACACTACGTGTCTTTTGGACATGTTTCGATAAAAAAAAAGACATACATACACAAAAATGATTTAGGCACCCCACGTGTTGAAGTATCATTTGTGGTTTTCCTGTTCACCTCTAAATTAAAAAGAATGGAATTTTCCTTTGTGCTCTGGTTTTTAAGAATGATAGCTTTCCTCGGCTTTCTCTTGCTATTTTACTTTTGAAGTTTCTTCCAGAGCGGTCGAATCACCTCAAATGTAGTATTATTTGATTTTTCTTTTAATATTAGTTGTCCATAAACTAATAGGGGTGCAATGAGTAATAGAAGCTTGTGTATAGGAGGAAAGAAACTGAATATTCAGAGTGCTCTTGTTTTATATTTTCTTTTTCATATAAATCTATCTATTACCTGAATATCATAGACGAACCGTTTTCAGGATAATTAAAGCTGTGAGTAATACTCGGATACTCCGTGCTGTGATGCGAACTTTCAAAATTATTTTTCTAAGCTGTTCTCTGATAATTTGAATATAGTATGCTCTACCTTGAGCAAGATTTATCAGCTGTTGATCATGCTAAAACTGTCAAAAAATTACTATTCCAATGATTTTAGGTTTACCCAACTCAATCATATCTGAACCCGTTTACAGCAGGAAAGACTTCAATCTACATCAAAATATCAAATAAATAAATAAAGTGTTTAACTCGCTACGATTCGACTTCCGTCATTACTAAAGTCCGTCTCTCTCTCTTGCTGATATGTTCAAGTTTGGCTGATGAATTTACCAATATATGTGTCTTTCGATTTGTGCACACTAATGTCCACACATATATCCGGTGTTAAATATAGTAAAGTGGAGTGTTTATTGTGGATTGAAAAGAGAACACATCAGGGAGCAATACTGTTCATGCAAATAGTGAGCTATTGAAGTTGATTCGTGTTAAAAATGCTGAATTGTTTCCTAGTTAGACCTTTTTAAATATGGCGGCCGTTGGCAAGCCTCCCCGCCGATGGAAGTATTAAGTTATTCTCGCCAGGATAAGATAAAGAACCTCCTATGGAGCGAAGATTGTTACAAGCCACTTTGTTTGGTAATTTTGTCAAATGTTTACATCGACAGTCTTTGAAGACGAAAGGAACATGTCGCACGCCGTTGCGCGCAGCGAATTTTAAGCCACGGTCACTGTTATCGTTTTAATTGTTTGATTATAAGACTCATTTGCCTTCGGCCGTTAACAAGATTGACGCAGCAGTTGAAGCGCCGGTATAAACAAAAAACATTTTGCTGCGGTGAAGTTTTTTCGGGTGAAGTTTTGGAGTCGATCTTACTGAAAATTGTATGTTCATGCAATCGCATGGTGTAACTCGTTTCCGGTCACAGAGTAGGCCCTTGCTGGAGTGAATCATTTAAAACACATTCGCGGTTTTTTGTTTACTAATGTTGCTCACGCGAATGAAATCAAAGGAGAGATCTCACCACAATTCATACAACCTTGCCAATTACTACTAGAAGTCATATAAAAAGCAAATTTTCATGGGATATTTAAGCTCCGTTTGTTACTTTGTTCGCACAGATGAGAGTAACTATTTGTTAAATTGCCTTGCCGATACGGTTCGTAAGCCTTTTACTGCGCTCAAACTTTAAGAAAATTAGGAGTGCTTTAACTAGCTCACACTAGTGACGCGATAGTGTCGAGTGGTACTCAAAAAAGCGTAGGCGTGATAGGCTGTAATAAAAACTTATATGATTAGTTCACCAGATGCATTTCCTGAATGAGCCAATTACGGCTTCATTATAAATGGGCTTTTAGCGCACCTCCCAGCGAGTTTGCATCACGCAATGCCATACA